CCCCAAAACCCCAAAACCCCAAAACCCCATTAGAAAACTATTATTAAAATCAGGAAATAATTAAAATAAAATAAAGAATTACTATAAATTTTGATAATTTAATTGAAAGGTGTGCTTTATATAGAATTTAAATAATACTTTCTAAAAACATCAATCATTCACTTAGTTGCCATATTTAGAATCATAGCTACTATAACTAAAACTGTGAATGCAATTACTATCCTTTTAGCAGCCTTTTTGCATTTCTTTTGGCACTTTTTAAAATGTTTTCCACCATGAAGATGGTGGTGGTGTCCATGAGAAGAGTTAGAGGATACACTACTTTTTCTATGTTTATGATGATATCCATGTGACTGCACCATCAACGGTTAGTGAAGTACTCCATTATGAGGAGCTCCTGCGTATGGCTAGGGTTAGTAAATAGGCTGAGACTGCATTTGAGCATTTTACTATGGAATTGGTTAGTAGTAGGGCTAATATCCCTAGTTCTGTTGATTTTATAAGTTAGGGTTGTAGTAGTTCATTTTTATTTATTTCAATTATTATTATTTTTAAATCTGAATTTAATTGATTTACAGGTATAACTTTCACTTCCCTTTTCCTAAGCCTCAGGAATCTTGGTATATAGACTAAGAAAAACTAACTAATTGCTACAGAAATCAGTAAAAATGCTTAAATGTCACTTGCACTTCTAAAATTTGTAATTTAACTAACATATCCACCAAATATAGGCCCAGTCATACCTCCAAGAGCATAAGATGAGTTGAATAGAGCACTAACTAAATTTTTAACTTAATCAGAATCAAATTTCTTGTCCTTATGTTTATGTGCTGCTGATACCAGAATTGAAAAACTAGCAACCATATTAAAAGGCGATGCTAACCCTGATATGAATAAACCAAGACATGTTATGTAAATTTGTTCTGGGATTTGAAAGTATTAACTAGGACCAACTAAAAATGATCCAAAAGCTTATACTAATTAAGCAATCACAACAATAGTAGCTAAATTTAATCTCTTAATAACTGAAGGTGCAAAATGAGTAGTCATCATAAATCCTACTGGCTAAATTGCCTAAATAAGAGCAATAGTCCAGGCTCGATAATCGTAAGTTTTCATTAAATGATCAGCTATGATTGTATCATTCATATTAAATGTGTGTATATTCAAGGCAATTGCTAAAAATCCGAAAAAACCCTCGATTGTTAACATAATGTGAGAATAAGTAGCTTTATCATAAAGAGGTATATTCTAAGGCATTTTATCATAAGCCTTATCATTTTTGGTGAGGACCTTATTTTATTCTTCAAAACTATCTTCTAGATTAATCCTAGCCTCATTTAAATCATTGGCCTCTGTCTTCTGAAAATCAATTGATTAGCTAGCTTCTAGAATAAATCTTCATTTTGATTTTCTTAATGAGTCATTCTATTTGTCATGCTATGGTATTCTATTTTTACTTCAAAACAAATTGTAATTTTTACATATATATTGTAGAACAATCGCCAAATTTAATGAGTTTATCCTAAAAGAGTAAGAAGGAAAAGAATAAAAATGCTGTAAAAGATATTATTTGGAATAAATTATTACCACAGAATGAGAAAGGTCCGATATAGCCGATAGCATATGACAAAAATGAGGAAGTAGCTAGTCCTATGAAACCGCCAAACGCTAAAATAAATTAAAAAATCATTAAACTTGCTGTCTCCGAATTCAAGCCAAGAAACTAGCTGTTTTTCATGCTAGGGATATTATGTCTGTAACTCTTAAAATGCTAAAACAAAAAAGTTAGATTTATCGGCTATAATACCAGCAGTTTAAAGCAGTCCGGCACCAATTCCTTGCATGATTCTTGCAAAAAAAGCCAATGTCAAAAAAAATGCTCTAAAATTTGGCTAAAACAAGGTATCTGACTTACATTTTGTTTACAAATGTTATTGAGATGAAGATTGATGCTGCAAGAAATTATAAAACTAAACCTGACCTTAACATTGATTTTCTACTCCATTTTCCAGCAAGTTTCCCTGCTGTTAGTGAGGAGGCAAAAAAGAATATATTGTATGATCTATAAGTATACTTCAATTATTTAAGAAAAATCTTACATAAAGAGGGGAGTAAAGATTGAAATAGGCACTCCTCTATGATTCATTTATTCTGGCAAAATGGGAGAGAGCACAATAAAAAAAGCCTCTTTTATTCCGAGAAGTGATACAAGACAAATTAATGACGAATTAATTTTCATTAAATAAAAGATTATTATAAGAAACTTAAAACTAAAGATCTAAATAGGTTTAACGTGTAATTTCAATTGATTATGCTATAAACCAAAATTTTGACTCAGGGGTTTTGGGGTTTTGGGG